ATTTTTATAGTTTTAATATTTATATTTATAATTTTTGATATAAAAGTAATATATACTGACAGTAAATATTTTAAAAACAAACAAGCAAAAGGAAAGTAAAAATAACCTGTATGCCTACTATCCAGAGATCCTCTTTTAACTATTTGATGTCTTCTTCTACTATACTTTTAAAATATATATATATTTTTTATTGATTTCTGAGAGGAAGGAAGAGGGAGAGAGAGATAAAAACATCAATGATGAAAGAGAATCATTGATCACTGCCTCCTGCATGCCCCCTACTGGGGATCGAGCCCGCAACCTGGGCATATACCCTTGACTGGAAACAAACCTGGAACCCTTCAGTCCATAGGCCAACGCTGTATCCACTGAGCCAAATCAGCTAGGGCTGATTTACTTTTTAAATAATCATTCAGGTTACTGGGTATAACACATACTGAAGGGAAGGCAAGAATAGAATCAACCAGCAGGGAAGGTGTTGTAGTCCAGACAGGAAATGACAATTTCTTGGACTTTAGTGGTAGGGTGAGGAATTGAGAGGAGAAGTTGGGTATATATAAATATTTTTTTTCATCGATTTATTGTTTTCCATATTTATGCATTCATTGGTTGCTTCTTGTATGTGCCCTGACTGGGGATAGAACCTATAACATTGGCGTATTGGGCCAACACTCTAACCAACTGACCTACCTGGCCAGAGCTGTTCTTTTATCTATTGAACTGTGTTAGGCATTGTTATTAAAGTGTAGTCTCAGAGTTTTTAAAATTGAAAGAGTAAAACAACTAACAGAGCCATAACTTTCTTTTTGTAGGATAGAAATAATTATTTGAACTATTAATGAACTATTAAAAATTATATTATTTATAGCTCAGTGACTTTGTAGCCTTAGATCATCAATTGTATTCTCCAAGTGACCTTTATTTATTTATTTATATTTTTTCAAGTGACCTTTATTTAATGTTATTTTTCCAAAAGGTTCATTCCAGCCAACAAATGAAATGATGCTCAAGTTCTATAGCTTCTATAAGCAGGCAACTGAAGGCCCTTGTAAACTATCAAGACCTGGATTCTGGGATCCTATTGGAAGATATAAATGGTAATTTTATATAGATATCTGTGAAGGAAATTTTATTGTAATGATAGTTATTTATGTGATTACATATTATCCTGTGCATAAAATGTTCTAAGTATAGGATACAATTTTTATCATTGTTGTACTCTTTTTCTAAAATATATTTTATTGATTCTTTACAGAGAGGAAGGGAGAGGGATAGAGAGTTAGAAACATCAATGAGAGAGAAACATTGATCAGCTGCCTCCTGCGCACCTCCCACTGGGGATGTGCGCACAACCAAGGTACATGCCCTTGACTGGAATCGAACCTGGGACCTTTCAGTCCGCAGGCCGACACTCTATCCACTGAGCCAAACCGGTTAGGGCTCATTGTTGTACTCTTAACACAATTTCACACAAATAGGAATATCTTGGGGAAGAGAGGAAAACAATAAAACCACAAGCTATAGGTGCACCAGAGATAATAAAGAATTTTCAGTTAGTCTTTCCTTTTCTGGAGTTTTTTTCTTTTTATTATGCTAAGAGCAACTCCCATACAGAGTTAAAGGAACAAACTTTCCTGCCTGTTTGACGTGACATGAAAAGTAGTGAATTGTAAAGTGACATTGTTTTGAACCTTTAAGATAAAAACTAACTAGGAACATGATTCAGGTACTGTCTACTAACATTTTATCTAAGGCATCACTCTTGTCCCACTATCTATATATAAAAGCCTAAGCCATCGTTAGGGTGGAATGACCAGAATGACCAGTCACTATGATGTGTACTGACCACCAGGGGGCAGACGTGCACTGCAGAAGCTGCCCCCTGGTGGTCAGTGCACTCCCACAGAGGGAGCACCGCTCAGCCAGAAGCCGGGCTCATGGATGGCAAGCGCAGTGGTGGTGGTGGGAGCCTCTCCCGCCTCTGCAGCAGGGTGCAGGCCGGGCTGAGGGACCCCCCTCCCCAGTGCATGAATTTCTTGTACTTGAATAAAATTTGATTTTTAAAGAAATGTATTGATTTTGTTTTAGAGAGAGGAAGGACAAGAGAGAAAGAGTGGAAGAGAAACATTGACTTGTTCTACTTATTTATGCATTTATTGGTTGCTTCTTGTATGTGCCCTGACCAGAGATTGAACCCCAACTTTGGTGTATTGGGACAGGGCTCTAAACAATTGAGCTAAGTGGCCAAAGCTAAAATTTGATTTTTAATATATTTAAAAGAATAATAAAATATCCAGAGTTGCCCTGGCTGGGTAGTCAGTTGGTTAGAGCATCATCTCGATATGCCAAGGTTGTGGGTTCAATTCCTGGTCAGAGCACATACAAGAATCAACCAATGAATGCAAAAATCAGTGAAACAACAAATTGATGTCTCTCTCTCTCTCTCTCTCTCTCTCTCAAATCAATCAAATAAATGGAAAAAAGAAAAATCCAGAGATAGCTTTGCCATTTTTCTTTTTCTTTTAAATATATTTTTATTGATTTCAGCGAGAGGAAGGGCCAGGGAATAGAGAGATAGAAACACTGATGAGAGAGAAACATCATTAATTGGCTGCCTCCTGCATGCCTCCCCCCAGTGATCGAGCCCATAATCCTGGCATGTGCCCTGACTGGGAATTGAACCGGTGACCTCCTGGTTCCTGGGTTGACTTTCAACCACTGAGCAACACTGGCCAGGCAACATTTGATGTTGTAAGTACTGCTGAAGACTGTACAAATATCTAACAAAACGTCTAACTAGACTGTTTATTATGAATAGAGCATGCTAATTGGTGAAGTATGTCTTAAGAGCCACACATTTTGAAAGCTAAATTTCTTCTTTCTGAATTGTAAGTCCTTAAACTCTTTTGAGGATTTCTTAGTTCTCTACTTTTCTCTGAGAGCTTTATGAATAGTTATAAAAAAAATAGGTTAAGCCCAGCTGGTGTTGCTCAGTGTTTGAGCATCCACCTATGAACTGAACCACAAGGTCACAGTTAGATTCCCAGTCAGCAACATGCCCAGGTTGTGGGCTCGTCCTCAGTGTGGGGGGTGTGCGGGAGGCAGCTGATCAATGATTCTCTGTTATCATTGATGTTTCTATCTCTCCCTCTCTCTTCCTGTCTGAAATCAATTAAAAATATATTAAAATAATAAAAATAGGTTAAGTATAATAGCAACATATTTAATCTTTTTAAAGAAAGTTTATTTACCATTTTTCCTCAGAATTGACTTTTGGTAGAGTTAAGTTGCTTCCAGAAAAAATATATAAAAAGAGAGGTGTTTGCCCTACCTGGTTTGGCTCAGTTGATAGAGCATCAAGCCCAGGGTCCCGGGTTCAATTCTGGTCAAGGACATGTACCTCTGTTGCGGGTTCGATCCCCAGCCCTAGTTGCGGGGCCTGCAGGAGGCAATCAAACGATGTGTCTCTCACATCAATGTTTCTCTCTCTCTGTCTCTCCCCCTCCCTTCCACTCTCTCTAAAAATCAATGGAAAAAATATCCTCAGGTGAGGATTAATAAAACAAACAAAAAATAAGAAGAAGAGAGGTTTTCATTTTAGGCAAAAGTTTTAAAGGACTATTCTCATTATCTAGGGGTTTAAAATGTTCCTGTCCCTCACTTTTATCTTTTTTGAAGAAATCATTGCCATTTTTCAAATGTGTAAAGTTAGACTTTTATTTAAATTAATGGGCACTTTAAACCAAAACTTGGTTTAAAACATAGCTGTGACAGTTCATGTAGAGGCTTCTAAAATATTTATTTCTGTCATTGTTCTTTATAATGATATAAAAACTTCTGTAGCAAATATCTATGAATAATCTATAGTCTATATAGTAAAGCATCTATAATCTATAGTCTATACATGGGTTATATATTTATTAATTTAAAATACTGTTTAATTTGTCAGTTTATTCACTGTGATACTTTTATTCAAGGTGGTGCATTTAAAGAGATCCTTTGGGAATTTAACATGACTTTAAGTAGAGCTCGTTTTAAAATTATGACCCTATATTATTAACTATAAATTATATTCTGAGCAATTGAAAATCAGGTGTCTTTCAAACTGGTAGTTACAAAATAGTTGTGGAGATGTAAAGTACAGCACAGGGAATATAGTCAATAATATTGTAGTAACTATGTATGGTGTCAGATGGGTACTAGATTTATTGGGGTGATCACTTCACAAATTATATAAATGTCTAATCAGTATTCACTTCAACCACACATACTAGTATACTAAAATATAAATGTCTACTCACTGGGTTATTCACCTGAAACTAATATAATGTTCATCAATGAAATAGAACAATTGAAAATTATTTCAAGAAAAACCAGGTGTCTTTTTGTTGTTATGTGCATATTTTCAATTTTAGGGATGCTTGGAGTTCATTGGGTGACATGACCAAAGAGGAAGCCATGATTGCATATGTTGAAGAAATGAAAAAGGTAGGGAAAATAATTCATAGAAGAAAATAAAAACATCTAGCCCTAACCAGTTTGGCTCAGTGGATAGAGCGTTGGCCTGCGGACTCAAGGGTCCCAGGTTCAATTCCGGTCAAGGGCATGTACCTTGGTTGCGGGCACATACTCAGTAGGGAGTGTGCAGGAGGCAGCTGATCGATGTTTCTCTCTCATTGATGTTTCTAACTCTCTATCCCTCTCTGTAAAAAAATCAATAAAATATATTAAAAAAATAAAAACATCTAGAACCATTCTAATTTAATTTTTTGTTACTAGGCAAATTAGCTGCTTTGTTTTAAGGAACAAGGAGATTATAATCTGTTAGAATATAGAACCTAGATTATTGAATTTATTAGGGCTTTATCTGTCTAAGTTCATCAAAGTTCATCTTAAGTGTTTTTTCCTTAGATATATCACATTGGAGTGACATCATATTTTGTTCTTTTGTGTGTTTTTTCCTTTTCCCTGTCTTCCTGGATAGTTCACTTTTGCAGAAAGTGCATAAATATGAATATTTTAAAATATTGATGTCCCTTAGAGTCTGAGAAGTACCTGGACTATCTAGAAAGCATTTCTGCTTTGGAATTTTTTTGTTTAGGTGAAATCATTCACAAGGCTTCCTCACAATGGTCTTATACACCTTTTGACTCATAAATTACCATCACTATTTCTCAGTAACAAGCATTTTTTGGGTCAATGCAAAGATCCTTTGAAGCCGAATAAGGATGCATTTAGTTTCTCTGATTACTAAAAAGTGCATTCCTTTTAATAAACAAAATAAACTGATGAACAAAATACATCCAGAGACATAGAAGCATGGAACGACTGTGGAACTGAGAGGGAAGGCAAGGGTGGGTGGGTAGGAAGAGATCAACCAAAGAACTTGTATGCATATATGCATAATCCATGCACACAGAAAATAGGGTGGTGAAGGCCTGGGGAGGGGTGGAGGCAGGCTAGAAGGGCCAATGGGGGGATAAAAGAGGACACACATAGTACTTTCAACAATAAAGATTTTTTTTAAGTGCATTCCTTGTTAACTAGCTCTTTTAAGTCTGTTCAAGGCATTGTTTAGAGGAGCAAATTTATGAAGAAATCTTAGATTTAAAAAATGAACTTGGTGCCTTTTTATAAAAGACCATTTTTATCTTGGAGATGGATCCAAAGTTATAAAATTTAGGTCTGTTTATAATCTTAAATAAATTATCTTTGAACATAAAATCTATAAATAAAGAATAGGTTTTTTTTGCCAGGTGGTATAACAGTATTAATCTATGTAGTAATTTCAATTTGGTAGATTCAAACTAGTTTTTTGGGTTTGTTTTGTTTTAATCACATCTACACTGCTCAAATTGTGCCCTTTGTTACATTTCCACAAGTTTTTTTAGCGACTTTGTTTATAACAGAGGGCAGAGTTTAGTTTTTCTGGCTAACTGTATCAGTAACACAACAACAAAGGAGCCTTTCAAAATCAGAGAGAGAAAGAGAATCTAAAGCTTTTTTGGTTTGATAACTATTCCTTTTCTTTACCTTAAATATCATTATAATCCCCCCCCCATTATAATTTTTAGGGTACACCTTAGTTACATAAATCTGGATTGACACATTAAGAAAATTTACTCATTTTTCCTTTTGAATTTTATTAATACATAATGTAGCCACAGTTTAAATTTGGGGGGAGGGTGGTGAAACAATGTGTATTTTGCTTTTTTCCCCAGAAAGGTTAAAGCTATACTGCTGCCTTTTAGCTATTTTAAAATGCTCTCACTGTGCCTATAGAATTTTGTAACTACTTCTCTAATTAAAAGAATACACCAGCTATTTTTACTGAGACTTTAGAATTTTCATTTTATACTGTGAATATAATAAAGTTTATAGAAAACTTTTAGAGGTAAATTTAAAAATTTTAAGATGTGCATAGGTTGAAAACTTGATTAGCGTTTTCATTTATTTTCAGATGTTAACTTTGTGGACATCAGTAGATAAAATTACATGCTCCAAATAATCATTGGGGATAGTACATTATCCCAAAGATTTCATAACTGAATTTGAGACTTTTTCTTTTACTAAATTTTATTTATTTAAATATATTTTTATTGATTTCAGAGAGGAAGGGAGAAGGAAAGAGAGATAGAAACATCAATGATGAGAGAGAATCATTGATCAGCTGCCTCCCACATGTCCCCTACTGGGGATCAAGCCCACAACCTAGGCATGTGCCCTTGACCAGAATCGAACTCAGGACCCTTCTGCAGGCTGACGCTCTATCCACTGAGCAAAACCAGCTAGGGCAGGATTTTTTCTAATAGCAATAATTTACTTAACTGAAGCAGTCATTGAATTATGTTTTTAAATAGAATTGACAAATCACTGTACTATTGCTCTTTAGAATTACTCTTTTAGTATAAATCTTATTCCATGCTTTTGCATTCAAGGTTTTAAGGAGCCTTATTAATTTTATTTATATATTATAATAGATAATGTTTTATGAAAATTATGATTTTCATGATTTATAAACTGTTTTGTGAAATACCACCAAAAAGTTGCAGGAATAAAAATTCTTTTAAAATAATTTAATAGGATTTTAGCTTTGAGGGAATAGAATAACGTGGTTTGGGGTAAATAATCTATGTTTTTATGTATAGTTTATTTTGATTTATAATCAGAAAGAAATATAAAATTTTGTTTTCTGTACAATTTTACAGGCTGCATTATGGGGATTTCCAGAAAATCAGTCAGTATTTGAATAATTTCCATTATGTCTGTTGAGTTTAAAGATAGATCAGTGTATGTTAGTCCCCCATTAACCATGGGGTATATGTTCTGAGATCCCTAGTTGATGCCTGAAATCAAGGATAGTACTGAAATCTGTACGTACTGTGTTCTTTTTATATGTATATTTATACCTTTTCACTTAAAGTAGGGTGGGGGGCCTTTTTTCTGCCAAGGGCCATTTGGATATTTATAACATCATTCATGGGTCATAAAAGATTATCAACTTAAAAATTACCCTGCTATATTTGGTCAAACATTTAATTAAGTCATCCCCAATACCTTCGCAGGGCCAAACCAAATGATTTCGTGGGGCATATGGCCTGGGGGTTGGACATTCCCCACCCCTGACTTAAAGGAAGCACATATAGCATTGCCACCAATCACCAATTGATAGTTATTTATTTGAATGCCCTTTTAGTTCATATACCTTGCTGTTTAAATTTGATGATTCTAAATTGGCCCACGGTTGTAAAGGTGTCTAAAAGCGGTTATTTCCTACATTACTTTTGTGCCCTATTAAAAATAATACCATAGAGCTCTAGCCGGTTTGGCTCAGTGGATAGAGTGTTGGCCTGCTGACTGAAGGGTCCCGGGTTTGATTACAGTCAAGGACACATGCCCAGGTTTCCGGCTCAATCCCCAGTAGCGGGTGTGCAGGAGCCAGCCAATCAGTGATTCTCATCATTGATATTTCTTTCTCTCTCTCTCCCTTCCTCTCTGAAATCAATAAAAATATATATTTAAAAAAAATAATACCATAGAGTCAAAGAACATACAATTTATACTAATCCCACAGTTTTCTATTTTATTTACCATTAGTGTCCTTAGTTTTTAATGCACAATTTATAAATTGTTGTATAAAATTTTACATGAAACTTAGTTTTCAAAATGAGAACTATTTTTGTTGTTGTTAATCCTCACCTGATGACATATTTTCATTGATTTTTAGGGAGAGTGGAAGAGAGAGGGAAAGACAAAGAGAAACATCAATGTGAGAGAAACACATCAGTTGGTTGCCTCCTGCATGAGCCAGGGCCTGGGCCGGGGAGGAGCCTGCAAGCAAGGTATATGCCCTTGACTGGAATCAAGGATATTTATAACATCATTCATGCTCATAAAAAATTATTGCAGGCTGACACTCTAGCCACTGAGCCAAACTGGCTAGGGCAAAATGAGAACATTTTTAAGTGTTTAATATATTTGAAACTTTTCTAGGAGGTTATATACATTAAGTATATAATTAATATAGATATTTTGAGAGTCTATAAATGAACCTCATATCTCAAAATTATCAAAATGTTATATTATTGGTTAGTAATTTAGATCAGCTTAATAATTTGTGATTTCACAAGATGTGTTTCTTTTGATTACAGATTCTTGAAACAATGCCAATGACTGAGAAAGTTGAAGAATTGCTGCATGTCATAGGTCCATTTTATGAAATTGTGGAGGACAAAAAAAGTGGCAGAAGTTCTGATTTAACTTCAGGTTGGACTATTTTATGTCATTTATAACTCAGCAACTGATACATTATGATACATTAATACTTATATGCCTAATTTTTTTTTTTTTTATTCTCACATGCTAGTCCGACTGGAGAAAATCTCTAAATACTTAGAAGGTAGGAATAGTGAAATCCATGTAAAATTTTGTTTAAAATTTACATATCAAAGAATTTTGCACAAATTTATATAACTTACAGGCTTGTCACTCAAGAGTTTTAAATCCAAGCAAATAAATTGCATAAAGTTCTAAAATATATCTAGGTGGGTGTGGCTTGGTAAGTTGACCTATGAACCAGGAGGGCATGGTTTGATTCCCGGCCAGGGCACATGCCCAACTGTGGGCTTGATTTCCAGTGGGGGCGTGCAGGAGGCAACTGATCAATGTTGTCTCTCATCACTGATATTTCTCTCTCTCTCTGAAAGCAATAAAAATATACTAAAAATATTATAAAATCTTAAGTTTTAACTCTTAAGTTATTAAAACATGATAGGTAGTTCACTTAGTATGTATAAAATTAACAGAATTCATAGTTTTATTTTGATGGATTATATTTTCTATTTTGCTTTATATATTTTATTATCAATATCATGGCTGAAATCATTTTTTAGCTAACTTTAAAATGCTATATTTACTTTAAAGTGCTAGGTGTTTGTTTTTGTTTGTTATTTCTAATCCTCACCTGAGAATATGTTTTTATTGATTTTATTTATTTTTAAAATTATTATTTAAATATGTTTTTATTCATCTTCTTAGAGAGGGAGGCAGGGGGAGAGAGGAGAAACACTGATGAGAGAAACATTGATCGGCTGCCTCCTTCATACCCCTTACTGGGGATCAAGCCCACAGGCCTGGCATGTGCCTTGATCAAGAATTGAACCTACAACCTTTTGATGTATGGGATGATGCTCCAGCAACTGAGCCACGCAGCCAGGGCAAGTGCTTGGTTTAACTGTAGCTTAGCAAGCTAAAATAAGGTATCAGTGAATTCACTTAGCTTTGATTTTATTTATTTTTATTTTTAACTTTTTTTATTGATTTCAGAAAGTAAGGAAGAGGGGGAGATAGAAATATCAATGGTAATTTATTTTTTATATTATTTATTTTAGATATACATATATCTTTTAAAATCTTTATTGTTTTATTTCCTACATTACTTTTGTGCCCTATTAAAAATAATACCATAGAGCTCTAGCCGGTTTGGCTCAGTGGATAGAGTGTTGGCCTGCTGACTGAAGGGTCCCGGGTTTGATTACAGTCAAGGACACATGCCCAGGTTTCCGGCTCAATCCCCAGTAGCGGGTGTGCAGGAGCCAGCCAATCAGTGATTCTCATCATTGATATTTCTTTCTCTCTCTCTCCCTTCCTCTCTGAAATCAATAAAAATATATATTTAAAAAAAATAATACCATAGAGTCAAAGAACATACAATTTATACTAATCCCACAGTTTTCTATTTTATTTACCATTAGTGTCCTTAGTTTTTAATGCACAATTTATAAATTGTTGTATAAAATTTTACATGAAACTTAGTTTTCAAAATGAGAACTATTTTTGTTGTTGTTAATCCTCACCTGATGACATATTTTCATTGATTTTTAGGGAGAGTGGAAGAGAGAGGGAAAGACAAAGAGAAACATCAATGTGAGAGAAACACATCAGTTGGTTGCCTCCTGCATGAGCCAGGGCCTGGGCCGGGGAGGAGCCTGCAAGCAAGGTATATGCCCTTGACTGGAATCAAGGATATTTATAACATCATTCATGCTCATAAAAAATTATTGCAGGCTGACACTCTAGCCACTGAGCCAAACTGGCTAGGGCAAAATGAGAACATTTTTAAGTGTTTAATATATTTGAAACTTTTCTAGGAGGTTATATACATTAAGTATATAATTAATATAGATATTTTGAGAGTCTATAAATGAACCTCATATCTCAAAATTATCAAAATGTTATATTATTGGTTAGTAATTTAGATCAGCTTAATAATTTGTGATTTCACAAGATGTGTTTCTTTTGATTACAGATTCTTGAAACAATGCCAATGACTGAGAAAGTTGAAGAATTGCTGCATGTCATAGGTCCATTTTATGAAATTGTGGAGGACAAAAAAAGTGGCAGAAGTTCTGATTTAACTTCAGGTTGGACTATTTTATGTCATTTATAACTCAGCAACTGATACATTATGATACATTAATACTTATATGCCTAATTTTTTTTTTTTTTATTCTCACATGCTAGTCCGACTGGAGAAAATCTCTAAATACTTAGAAGGTAGGAATAGTGAAATCCATGTAAAATTTTGTTTAAAATTTACATATCAAAGAATTTTGCACAAATTTATATAACTTACAGGCTTGTCACTCAAGAGTTTTAAATCCAAGCAAATAAATTGCATAAAGTTCTAAAATATATCTAGGTGGGTGTGGCTTGGTAAGTTGACCTATGAACCAGGAGGTCATGGTTTGATTCCCGGCCAGGGCACATGCCCAACTGTGGGCTTGATTTCCAGTGGGGGCGTGCAGGAGGCAACTGATCAATGTTGTCTCTCATCACTGATATTTCTCTCTCTCTCTGAAAGCAATAAAAATATACTAAAAATATTATAAAATCTTAAGTTTTAACTCTTAAGTTATTAAAACATGATAGGTAGTTCACTTAGTATGTATAAAATTAACAGAATTCATAGTTTTATTTTGATGGATTATATTTTCTATTTTGCTTTATATATTTTATTATCAATATCATGGCTGAAATCATTTTTTAGCTAACTTTAAAATGCTATATTTACTTTAAAGTGCTAGGTGTTTGTTTTTGTTTGTTATTTCTAATCCTCACCTGAGAATATGTTTTTATTGATTTTATTTATTTTTAAAATTATTATTTAAATATGTTTTTATTCATCTTCTTAGAGAGGGAGGCAGGGGGAGAGAGGAGAAACACTGATGAGAGAAACATTGATCGGCTGCCTCCTTCATACCCCTTACTGGGGATCAAGCCCACAGGCCTGGCATGTGCCTTGATCAAGAATTGAACCTACAACCTTTTGATGTATGGGATGATGCTCCAGCAACTGAGCCACGCAGCCAGGGCAAGTGCTTGGTTTAACTGTAGCTTAGCAAGCTAAAATAAGGTATCAGTGAATTCACTTAGCTTTGATTTTATTTATTTTTATTTTTAACTTTTTTTATTGATTTCAGAAAGTAAGGAAGAGGGGGAGATAGAAATATCAATGGTAATTTATTTTTTATATTATTTATTTTAGATATACATATATCTTTTAAAATCTTTATTGTTGAAAGTATTACATAAGTCTCCTTTTTTTCTGGCCAGTGTCTGTGTCTTTTTGTGTACTCCATAAATAATTGAAAGATGTGTATCTTTTATATATTAGCAGGAGTTGAGTATGCACATTTGCTGGCATTAACTTTAAACATTTGCTCTTGAAATTTTATTAGAAAGCAGAGTGAAATGAACTGATAAGAGTCAATTTAAATGAAAATTATATATGTTTTAATATATATGGTATCCCCTTTTTTTGTCATCCCTATTTATAAGGCATCTTTTACTAATTGATGGAAATTACAGTGTTTCAGGACAGTAATCATCCTGTTCTGTCATAAGGCCTGCAGTTTGTGTCTGCCATAACTGATAATGACTGCTTACTAGGCATAACTCTGTACCATACCTTCTATATCTGATTTGCCTAGAGGAGTCAAATATTATACAATACTCTTCCTTACTCAGGCTTATTCAATTCAAAAGAATATTAAGTGTTTTTCTCTGTATGAAGCATGTTTTTAGGATGCAGATGGGCATAACTCTGGACCTGCTTTAGTAGTGTCATGCCTACTGGCCAGAGGCAGATGCTTATTTATTTATTTTTTCAGGGACAGATGTTTAAACAACTAATTATAAAAATAAGGAAGAGTGAATAGTAATAATAATAGTGGTTCAGTTCCACAGTTCCTTAGTTTTAATTTAAAAATTATAAAAGCTTGATAAACCCAATGTTTTTTTTGTGTGTGTTTTTTTTAATAACTAACTAGAGGTTCAGAGCACGGATTTGTGCACTGGTGGGGTCCCTCGGTGTGGCTTGCCTGGATCGGGCAGAAACCAGCAGTTCAATGCCGCCTCCCGCTCCTGCCTGCTGCTTCTGCTCATCCCAGCCCTCCTGCACCTCCCACGGGCTCACGCCCAGTCAGTTCCAATTAGGAGAGGCTCGTGCTGCTGCAGCGGTACTAGCCAGCTGAGAGCCCTGCGTCTGGCACCCGTTGGTCATCTGAGCAGCACTCCCGCTGTGGGAGCGCACTGACCACCAGGGGGCAGCTCCTGCGTTGAGCCTGGTGGTCAGTGCATGTCATAGCGACCAGTCATTCGGTCATTCGGTCACTTAGGCTTTCATATATATAGATTTGGCAGCAAAACTTGTCCTGACATGAACTAATTGAGGGGCAAACGCTAACTTAAAATGACATGAAGTTATTTGAAGTCTTTATTTATTCCATTTAGTACAGTGGTTCTCAACCTTCCTAATGCCGTGACCCTTTAATACAATTTCTCATGTTGTGGTGACCCCCAACCATAAAATTATTTTCGTTGCTACTTCATAATTGTAATTTTGCTACTGTTATGAATCGTAATGTAAATATCTGATATGCAGGATGTATTTTCATTGTTACAAATTGAACATAATTAAAGCATAGTGATTAATCACAAAAACAATATGTAATTATATATGTGTTTTCCGATGGTCTTAGGCGACCCCTGTGAAAGGGTTGTTCGACCCCCAAAGGGGTTGTGACCCACAGGTTGAGAACCGCTGATCTAGTATAACTATTCATATATTTTGCTGGGGAAAAAAATCTTAATTTTTAAAAAAATATTTTTTCATTAAATTTTAGAGGGAGAGAGAGAAACATTGATGTGAGAGTGGAACATTGATGGGCTGCCTCCTGCACACCCGCTGGGGATAGAACCAAAACCCAGGCATGTACTCTGACTGGGAATCAAACTGGTACCCTTCTAGCATACAGGATGATGCCCAACCAATTGATCCACACTGGCCAAGGCTTAATTTTTTTTTAGTGAGAGCTGCCTATATTCTGTTATGTTATG